TATTGAATGAAACTCAAAAAGTCGGAAGTAGCATCAAATTTTAGAATAAGTTTAGATTTGTTCGAATTGGTCACCTTTGGCACGAATTATGGCCAATGAAACCGTCACACGCTGGCCAACGGTATTTTGGCCCATTCCCGGCGAAGCGCTTGCTTGAGATGATCGACACTTTGGTATTTTTTAGTGCCAACCTTGCTTTCCAAAATACTCAAGACACAAAAGTCCAACGGATTGGTATCCGGAGATTTTAGTGGCCATTGTGTGCTGGAAATGAGCGAGGAACCTCATTTTGTAACCATTTTGGGTTTCGCGTGCTAAGTGCAATGGTGCTGAGTCCTGTTGGAATGTCCAAGGTATGCGGCCAAAACGTTCGCGTGCCCAAGGCTTTAATAAACCACCCTCCAGAATATTTTCGCGAAAATATTCGGCATTTATTCTGATGCCACGGTCGATTAATATGAGCGGAGAGCGACCATCGCCTGTTAGGGCCGCCCACACCATCATCATCACCATGGCCGACGCTTGGGTGGCCAACCGAAGGTGCACATTTTAAGCTAACCTCTTTGGCAAGTAAAAACGATCATTTTGTTTGTTTACAAACTGCTGGACAACGAATGTTTTCTCATTGGAGAGAGAGAGAGAGAGAGAGAGAAAACGAAATTCGGCAGCTCACCACTTTCGGCCAAGTGAAGCAAGTCTTTAACTCTTTTAAGTCTATTTTCTTTCTGTTGCGGTGTAAGTTCTTGCACTTTTTGGCATTGCAATGGCTTTACCCCGAGCTCATTTGCCGAATGAAATATTGCGTTATGTTCAGCTCACGAGCTATTTTTCGGCCATTGCGACGCGGGTTTCGATCAAGTCGTCGCTTCTTTACTTTTCGAACCATTTCTGCTGATGTTGCTGTTTTCTTCCGTCCACTTCCTTGACGTCGGACTATGGGCTACTAGTATTTTGGTAACGAGCGATGGTACGTGACGCACAGAAGATTTATTCACATTTTAATGTTGAAGTGCTCTAACGATAGCCTCTTGTGGTTCGCCAGCCAAATATAAAGAAATCACACTATCACGCATGAATTCCATCACGAATAAAGGTGGGAATACATAAAGCGCTTATCTGGCTGGCTTAAGTCATCGGCTGGCTTCTTCGGAAATGAAAAAAGGATCCTAGGGCCAAAATCGAACTAAGTCAACCTAAAACTCCTTTGTTCATCTACGAAGAAGCCAGCCAAATATGCGTTTTTGTATTTCCACCCTAACTTTTTTTCTGGAAAATTCTCACCAAAATGCTTTTGTACGGTTATAAATAATATAATGAGCTGTCACTGGAATAATTTTAACAGCTTTCGGACAAGTGGCTTGAAAATGACAGCAGTCTGAAAATGGTTGCAGTTTTTTTTTTCATCTAACCCTGCATGTGATTTTATGAAAAATTCTCTCACAAATCATCATTTTAGAAAGATCGCGTCAAAGACCAAATTATTCTCCATCAAATTTCACTATAAGTCACCATGGAGAAGAAATCTCTATTTCCATTATTTATCAAGAAAATACATGAATTAAGGTTGCCAAATAAAGCGAAAAATTTCCATTATTTTATTTTTTTTCATTATTTTTTTTTCTTTCGGAAAAAATCTCTATATCCTAGTTTATCTGACAATCATAACCAAAAAAATCTGTAGAGGACATCCCTATATCTCTACCTTGCAAAGACAGTGGCAGTGGCTGGCATGTCGCTCCATCACGTGTCATTTCTGATAATGACAATAACAAGTTGTGTATCCAGCCGTAAAGAGAAACATATGAAACCTACTCGCACATGCACATGCATACCAACAACAACAACTACAATCAATTACAACTGATTAAAACGGTAACTATACCAACAACAATTCATAATTCAGCCAATGACAGTAGAATTTCAAGAAGAGTAGATAAACGGAACGACGGTAGTCAGACAAAAACATTTGATGCAGACTGCCTGTGACCATATAATTTGATAACTACAATTTTTTTTTTTGATTCCGAACCAAAAAAGAACATCCCCAAATTGAGGGTATTTGTGTGTGTGTGAGTGTGTGTGCATGCATGCATTGTATATTATTTATTATTTATGTACATAATATGGCCGTATTTGTCATTTTGTATGTGCATTTTTTTGGTTCCATTGCATTTCGATATAATTGAATTTAGTCATGGTTAAATTACAGTTGGGTCATTCAGGTTTAGGTGGGGACATGGTTTGGAGACGATATGTCATTTTGTGTTATGTGTGTAAGTCCAAAAAAAAATTGTAAACATTTAGCTTTTGAATACATATTAACATAATTTTGACAGTTAAATGGCATTTGCCTTACCGCAACAGTATAGGATGAGTATAATCGGTATTTGATAGACGAACTTGATGTGTGGCTGGGTAATCTTAAGAAAATTGACATATGTGTAAACCTAACATGACATATTGAACTCTCTGTGTAAAAATCTTCGATAGGTAAACTTTATGTGTGGCTGGGTAACATTATAGGGAATTATTTGAATACAGGGTAAGCTGAAGAAAAACTGCAACTAACTTCAGACTGCTGTCATTTCTAAGCCACTCGTTCGACAACTGTTAAAATTATTCCAGTGACAGATCATTATATTGTTTACAAGCGCAGAAAAGCATTTTGGTGAGAATTTTCCAGAAAAAAAGTTATTCGCGATGGAATTCAAGCGGGATAGTGTGATTTCTTTGTATTTGACTGAAAAAACACAAGTGGCTATCGTTAGAGTACTCCACCTGTATAAGTTTTTCTATCCAAAGAAGACCTCTACCTTCTACCCATAGAAGACCTGTATAAGGTCTTCTACCCATAGAAGACCTGTATATGGTATTCTATGCATAAAAGACCTGTATAAGGTCTTCTACTCATAGAAGACCTGTATATGGTATTCTATGCATAGAAGACCCTTATATGGTCTTCTATCCATAGAAGACGTGTGTAAGAGTTCTATCCTTAGAAGGCCTGTATAAGATCTTCCATCCATATAAGACCTGTATAAGGTCTTCCATCTATAGAAGACCTGTATATGGTCTTCTATACATATAAGACCCCTATAAGGTCCTCTATCCATAGAAGACATGTTTAAGATCTTCCATCCATAGAAGACCTGTATAAGGTCTTCATCCATAGAAGAACTGTATATAGTCTTCTATCCATAGAAGACCCTTATATGGTCTTCTATCCATGGTCCAGCATTTAAATGTGAATAAATCGTTTGTGTCTCGTATATCGCTCGTTACCGTGATACTGGTAGCCCGAAGTCCGACTTTAAGGAAGTGGATGGAAGAAAACAGCAATATCAGCAGAAATGGGTAGAAAATTAAAAAAGCTACTTGATCAAAACCCGTAACGCAGTGGCCAAAAAATATCTTGTGGGCTGAACATATCGCAATATTCGGCATTTGGCAATCATTGAAAAATGAGCTCGGGGTAAAGCCATTGAAATTCCAAAAAGTGCAAAAACTTACCCCGCAACAGACAGAAAATAGACTTGAAAGAGCTAAAGACTTGCTTCGCTTGGCCGAAAGTGGTGAAGTGCTGAATTTGGTTTTCTGTCTCTCTCCGATGAGAAAATATTCGTTGTCCAGCCGGTCGTGAATAAACAAAATGATCGTGTTTACATGCCAAAGAGGTCAGCACCTTCGGATGGCCACCCGAAACTCAAGCGCCGGCCATGGTGATGGTGTGGACCGCCATAACAGCCGATGGTCGCTCTCCGCTCGTATTAATCGACCATGGCATCAGAATAAATGCCGTATATTTTCGCGAAAATATTCTGGAGGGTGTATTAAAGCCTTGGTCAAGCAAACATTTTGGCTGCAGACCTCGGACATTCCAACAGCACTAAGGACGCACCATCGCACTCAGCACGTGCCACCCAAGAATGGTTACAAAATGAGGTTCCTCGCTTCATTTCCCGTGCACAATGGCCACCAAAATCTCCGGATGCCAATCCGTTGGACTATTGTGTCTGGAGTATTTTGGAAAACAAGGTTGGCATTAAAAAATACCAAAGTATTGATCACCTCAAGCCAGCGCTTCGTCGGAAATGGGCCAAAATAGCGCGCAGAGCAACCTTCGGGCAGCGTGTGACGATTTCATTGGCCAACATTTAAAAATTATGGCATTTGACTTTGTTGCAATTTTTTATCTCATTTGTTTTCCTCTTTTTTTTAAATTGCCAAATTCGTCCCAATGGTGGAGGGCATTAAAAGTTCGGTCCAGCCGACTTTACAGCTATTTTACTTGTTAGATTTCATTTGGTCAGTAGAATTCCTGCAGAAGTTATTTGTGCTCAAATCTTCAGTATTTTTGTTTTTACAATTCTGTGTGAATTTTATGGAATTTATTTAGGATTTTCAAGTTGGGCGCCATATTGAAATCGTCTTCTATCTTCAGAATTTTTAGGATCTCTGTTCTAAGCAGAATCTTTCTCATGTATATTCATTTTTTTTCAACCAGATTTTGGCCTTCTCATATTTCAGAGAGTTTACACGTTGGGCGCCATTTTCAGATCGTCTTTCATAACAACGATTTTCAGGATTTCTTTGCTCAGCAGAAGTTTTCTCATGTTTATGCATGTTTTTCTTATGTTTTGGACCCATTCCTGATATTATTTCGTCAGATTTTGGTCTTTTCTTATTTCAGGGAGTCTTTAAACTTTTCCTAATTGAAGTTGAGATTCCAAGGTCGCCATTATTGGAAATTCGTGTAGGATATTACTCATCATTCCTTGGCATATTTAAGATAAAAAGTTTTTTCTATTTCTTAAGAGATTAAATATCGAAATACCACAGTAATAAGGCTTAGTCGTGAAAAAAGCTTTTTGCTCCTAATGTTTGTAGAGGAGGATGGGAGCATAATCCGTAATAATGTGTCAGTACTTAGTTTTATCACTCCATATTTTTGCTTGTCCAGTAATTTACTAACATTTTGTTTCTCCTTCCATTCTTTGCAGATTAAATACAATGATGGCCTACCGCAACGTATCTGTGCCAAGTGTATTGCCCAGTTTTATATGATACACAAGTTTCGACGGAAATGTTTGAAGGTGCAAAGTCAGCTGCGGAGTTTGTTTGAAGAGCCACAGCTGAGGGCAAATAAAGTAAAACAATCAACAGCAGAAACTACACCGAAGGCTGATGATTTGCCGGAAAGCAGCAGAGAAGCTAGTAAAGAGGAAAACTGTGATGTTATTTTTGTAAATGACGAGGAGCCTTTGCCATCTAAAAAAGATTCTCAAATGGTTTCAAAGCAAAAAGATTCCATAGTTTCTTCAGCCGGCATTGAGAGCAAAGGAGAGACTAAAACTACCCCGCCAATTTCAAATCTCATTAAAGAATCGAATGTCCCACCAAAAGTCAATGAGCCCGCAATTGAGATTATAGATCAAACCACAGAAACGGCAAAGGAAACGGAAACCAAGGCAACTACTGCAACGGAAGAATCAACCACAGCTGTTGCCATGACTGAAAGACCAAATGCCAGCCACACAAAATCCACAGAACTTGAAAACGCCAATGAAACTCCTGCTCAGTGTCGAACAAATGAGAGTAGCGGAAGTTGTAGCTCAGATGAGAGGTCAGAGAGCATTGGAATATTTGCCAAAGAAACAATCGCCACCAAGTTAAGTACAAACGAAGACACCGGGTTAAACCACAAAACAAGTGGAAGAAGAAGTAGAAGAACAAACAGAAAGGAGCTACAGAAGCCTTGCAAAAGTAAAGAGGAATCCGCGGTGTCATTATTAACCAAAGCTGCATTGAAATCTTATTCCACCGCAACTAAGAGATCAGCCAATGAAAATCACACTCATCATCGGGCAAAACAAATGTTGGCAAATGCCTTAAACAAAACTCTTAAAAATGACAACAATAACAACAACAAAGAAATAGAGGAACATAACATAAGTGAGGACCATGAAGATTCTGAAAATGAAAATAACTCAAGACTTGACGAGGCAACGGAAAATACCATTTGTACAAGATCTCGTTTAAAATCCAAGAGACTGTCGCGTTTGCCGGCGGAAGAGAGTGCAAAATGTGACAGAACTCTGCGGGGGCAAAGCCAAAGATCTGCTGAAATAATGTCCAGATTACGGCAAAAATACTGCACACTAAAGGAGAACAAACGACGTCGGGTGCTGGGTGAAAAATCGACTAGCATCGGAAGTGCCTTAGATAGCGCGAAAAATTCTCAAAACACCTCCGAAAGTTACGCTGAGCAAAGAAAATCGCAAAAATGGAATATTTGCAAAGAAACGGAAAATGGCGCCCAACGTGAAAATATTAAAAACCTGGAAATAAAAAATCCCCCTGAGCAAAAATCATTGAAGAAAATTGGAATCCGAAGAAAATCTGAAAATGGCGCCCAACATGTGGTCACAAAATTGCCAAAACTGGAAAATGTTAAAATGTCCCCCCAAAAAACCAAAACAGAGTCGCCTGAAAAGCCCAGGGAAAATATATTTACCTTGGCCTCCAGCCATTTTCCACGTTCCATTGTGGCCCCCACAACATCTGCATCCTCCTCGTTTGCTTTGAAGAAAAATCTCCTGCGAATTTTCCCAAATGAAAACTGCAATGCCAATGACATGAAATGGAGACGCAGACGATCCCAAAGATCATCTTCCACGTCATCTACATCGTCGCTGACATCATCTTCATCGGCCCTAACCTCATCTTCCTCATCCGATGAGGATGATGACGATGATGAAGTTTACTATGAAGCCGCTAACACATCATATTGTCCCCTGCAAAATCTTACATCCTTTGAGGGTATAAATCTCTGGAAAACCAAAGCAGAAATGAAAGATAACTCCAATGATGTGAGCGATGTTTTTGAAGTCAAGGCAAGGCCAGTTTTGCTCTCACCAAGCCATACCATTGAAGATTCTACCATCAGCAGCAGTAGCTTAGTTTCAAGTCTCCACAAGGAAGATGGGGAGGAGGAGGAGGATAAGGAAGTGATAAGTGTTAGGAACTCTCCCGAGGAAGTGGAGAGTGACACCAGATCAACAGATCAAGAGGAATCTGTCTCCAAGGAGGACATCATGGATCAAGGACATGTAAATGAAGAGTCCTCTTGTAATGAAATTAGTTCGGATTCCAATACCCAAAGCACGGAAGCTGAAAGTGAAACTAGCAGTAGCTGTAAGGAATTTAACAAGGTACGGGATGAGGAGAACGCTGAACTGTTGGCCAGCAAACAGAAGCCAACAATAGCAACTAACGCAGATGAGGCCACAACCACTTTAACGCCTTCGGCTGGGCATAACAACAACATCGACGACAACAAGGAGAGCAGCATAGCCCAAGATAATCGCAACGGTCGTGGTATGAAATTAATTTTACAACGACGCAGCAGTACACGCTTTGCCTGTCTACGCTCAGAGGATATTTCAGATGAAGAAGCAGAAGAAAAAGGTGAAAAAGAATCGGATCAAGAGCGTAAAAGAAAACTGGAAGATAACACCTCCAAACAAGCTATGCAAGGGGAACAACCACAAACTTATAAGCGTTGCAAGCTTGTTGACGATCAGCATACCAATGAAATGGAAAGTGAAGAGCCTAACGAGACTGACAAAAGGGAAACCACATGCCCAAGCATGGCCATGGAAAATCAGCACAAGGAAGACCAGAAATTTATGGCCTCAAATGCAGGAGATCTATCTGAGATGGAAGATGTGGACAAGAAAACATGCGGACAGGAAAAGGAAATAAATTGTGAAGGACTAGGGATCATGGAACAAAAACTGGTGGTGCGTGTCCCTTTGGCTTCCTTGACACATGAATTTAAACGACTGCACTTAACCAAAGATAAGGACAAAAGGGAGATTCAAAATGTGCTGCATGAGGAAAGTGAGGGAGAGAATAAGGAAAATGCAGAGGAGAGTTCGAAAAGTCAATTCCAAGAGAAAGAGAGTGGCTTGGAAACAATTGCAGCGGGACAAGAGATATTAAAGGCTCGCGTTGGAGTAGAGTCACAACCAAGTGGTCAAGCCATGGAAAAAGAGAGAAATTTGGAATCGAGAGATTCGCAAAAGGAACTTTACAAAATTGAGAGCCCAGCTGAAGAGAGAGACGTATCAATGGCGGAGAGTACAAGCGATAACAATAAATTGAGCAAGAGAGCTCCAGATATGGAAATAAAAATCCCTAGCACTCAATTAGAGAAGAGAGATTCGGAGATGGAAACCACCAAAACCACTGACAAACAATCAGAGAAGAGAGATTTGGAGATGAAAACCACCAAAACCACTGGCAAACAATCGGAGAAGAGAGATTCGGAGATGGAAACAGCATTTCAAGGCACTCAATTTGGCGACGAGGTCCCATTTACGTTGGGCGCCACCTATACATGTGAGGATAATTTAAAGAAGAAATATCTGCATCTAACTCCTAATTCCTCACATCCAAATAAACCCATCGAAGAAGCCCAAGGTGAAATGGAAATATCCAATATGTCCAATGAGGAAATTGAGAAAATCCCAATGGAAAAGGAGGAGATTTCCGTCAGAGATTCAGGAGCAAGTCAAAAGTCAGCAATTTATTCCAACCCTGATGATAATAATATCGAAGTTCATGTTAATGTTTCTGCAATGGGTTCTGGAACCCAAAACGCTGAAATTCACCCTGAGATAGTGCCTCAAATGTCCCACAATGAAAAGGAGGATGAGAGCAAACGCATGGAAAATACCCAGCAAGAGGTAGTCCCTCAGAATGAAAACCACGACAATTTATGCCAGCCTCAGATGATGGCAGGGCAAGAAACTCCAAATCCCAGCCATCAACAAAAATCCGATGAACATACCACAACTGCCTTGGCGCCCAACGAGCACCTCGCATACATGCCCACAAATCCCTCCAATGAAACCCCAGTACCTGAACCGCTAAATGACTCAGCCAATGATACACTGGATATTAGTGCCCTACATCCGGATATTTTAGAATTAGTCAAAGAATCGGAGGTTGTGACGGGTGTCGATGCCAACCCAGAACAATTCTGTGCTGCCTCATCGAAAATAAACGATTTCATTAATGATTTTCAAACAAATTGTATAAATTCTCCAGATTCTGAATCCAATCTGAATGGGGAAGGTCCCGCCACAGCCTCGTTAGCCATTTCCCATCATCACCTGAATCTAAGTGCCGAAATACGTGATGTAGAGAATACCCTTAATGGTATACTAAGTGAAATGCATGAGCGGGATATGAATACTCCCAGATCGGGGGGAGAGAATGAAGATTATTTGCCACCTCATGCCACGCTCTATTCTCCCATGAATGATGCTGCCACAACGCCATCCCAAAGTTTGTATGGCGAAAGTCCTCAGACTGTAAATGGTAATCCCTCGCTGATGCTAAGTCCCTACATGTCGTCACAGATGGATTACAATGCCCTGACCCCACAAAGTAATCACAGCAGTACCATGAGCAGTGGACCCGGCAGCAATATGTCTGTCAATAGCCATGGCAGTGCTGGTAGTACAGCCACCGATCAGTATCCCTCATACACGGATTGTTTTACCGAGGAAAGCAATAGCCAATCGGAATTGATAGGTTTTCAGAATAATATACCCTGTTTTGAAAGTATCCCAGGGGAAATGAATCAACATCCCGCTGCAGAAGGCTTACCCGATAAACAACAATTTACCAACAAAGATCTTTTGGATTCCTTGGATAGGAATTTGGCGGAATTTGCAGCCGAACATTTGGAGCCAACCATTAATACAACAGCGTCTTCGGCCTTACCGAATTTGGATGCCCTACCTAATTTGGATGTGGAGGGTAGTGTGGAACAATCTTCCATGGCTATGGAGATAAGTACGGCCGATTCCATGCCTCAAGAAGTCCAATATGTTGTTAATGGTGAGGCATCCACCGCCACCACTGCCCCCAACCAGGGCCAATATCTGGTGGAGGACATGAACTCCAATGAAGGCAATCAACTGCAATATGCAAACCCGCAAGAAGCTAATCAGGAACCTTACGGCCACCCAGACATGCAGCAAATCCAATATGTCTCGGAGGAGGTCACCACAGTGAATTCTGAACCACAAGAAATCCATTACGAAACTGTGGACTTAACCACCCTGCAAACGGAGCAAGTTGCGGCGGCAGAGGATACCCAACAGCAATACAACTCAACGCCTCAGGATGAAACACAAATTGCCCAGCCTCAATTTGTCTTGGCCAATACACCGCATGGTCCGATATTCATAAGTACGCCCCATCAAGAAGCAGCCGCCAACAACAACAGCAGCCAAGCTATACAGTATGTTACACTCGATAACAACAACACAAATTGGTCTCAAGCTACAGCAACGCAAACTGCCTCGGCGACCCCTACGGCCACCTATTATGTTAATGCCTCAGGAGAGCTTTATCTCAGCAATCCCACCTTCAATGCCTTGGTTGTTACACCACAACCAACCAGTCAATCTCCAGCCCTGGAAACCAATGAGCCACAAGAACAAATCTATGCCGAACCACAACAACAAACGCTACATCGGGAGCCGGACAATTCCAAATCCCAGTATGTTATGCTGGTAAATACTGGAGGACAACAATTCCTGCAAAACCATAATGGCAGCTCCAGCACACCGCCGACGGCATTGATTTTGCAACACCATCCCAGTAATCGCATACCCAATCAGGGTCAAAATCACAACAACTATGTCAGCAACCCAACAAATCAACAAGAATTGCCACATCAAACGTCCTCTGGCATGACCACATTTTCCATACCTACCTCAATACCGGGACAACATGCCACCGTTAGCATTCCCACCGAGCCAATTGAACAGCAGCAGCAGCCGCAACAACCGACACCACCACCGCCAGCAGCTGCTCCAGCCACCACCAAACCAAACTCCCTGCCAAAGATGGGACAAAAACCCATACAGCCAAAGATATTTCCTCAGAGGGCCCAGAAAATCAATCTCATCTGTCGTTTCTGTCACAAACGACCGAAATTCACCAACAACGTGGACTATAGCAATCACATCATTACCATGCATCCCGCCGAGAAACCCTACAACTGTGACTACTGCCCCAAACATTTCCAAAGGCGTAGCGAACGTCAGGATCATGTGGCTCAGGTACACGGTTCGCGCTATCAATGTGCCCAGTGTGGTGTGAGTTTTTGTGCCCAGCGTGCGTTGGATTTTCATTTGCAAAAATTCCATGCATCAAGCGTGACGTGCGCCATACCACCGCGTATAGCAACGGTGGCTCCAACACAACAGCTGAACTCAGCATCACCATTGTCGGCATCTCAGCAACAAAACTCCACCTCTTATAATTCGTCGTCGTCATCGTTGACGGCGTCGTTAAGCGGCACCCAGCAACAACGATTGGTTAAAACGGCCAACGCCGTTACAATCGATGAGGAGGAAACAGTCAAACAACACAACAACAATAAATGCCGTAAGTATTGTTTTCTCATTCTCTTCGTTTGGTGGCTGACTGGCTAACTCTCAGCCATTGTGTTTTTTATTGCTATTGTTGTTGTTGTTACGTGGCCATTGTGATTGGTGGTGGTGTATTGTGATTTGTATATGGGTGTGTGTGTATGTGCGTTACGCGAGATTTATAACGGATAGCAGCACAACACACGTATAAAACACGATACACAATAGCAACACAATGGAATATGAGCTCTCTTTCTCTCGCTCTCTCACCCTTCCACTCACTCTCACTAATGGAGTATTGTTTTTTTTTTCACTTTACAGCTGACATGATGAATGAATCTACAGTGGGTCTCAAGCAGCAGCAGTTTTCACAACCACCAAGGAAATTATGTTGTCCCGATTGCAATACTGGTGAGTGTTAGTCGTTAGTCGTCGAAATAATCGGGGGGATTTAAGATATATATAAGAGTTCTTCTAGGAACTGGGTTCTTTGTATAAACAATAAAAACGGGTTGAGTTCGGACGGGCTGAAATACGCCCACCATTTGGAAGGAACTTTTTGATTCCGTTGGAAAAATGCCTTTAAATAATCAAAATACCGAATATCGGGTGGTACAGTTCACCGGCATATGGTGCTTCCTCCAACATGATAATTTGTTAGACATTTTTCGCGAATTTTCCTTGAAAATTTTTTGTCGATTGGGGCACCCACGAAATTGTTTCGAATGGCGTTTCTGGCTACGTCGGTGGTGCAGTTATATGGGAGCTATACGAAAACGCAGAGCTGAGTAGTCAATAACCTGTCTGAGAAGACCTATTGTCAACTCCAAATACTAATTTTTAGCTAATTCCGTTGAAAATTAAAGCCAAAATCGGAAAAATGTCGAATATCGGAAGATACAAAACATCGAAATACCGAATATAGGGAGGTACCGGTATTAGGGTGACCATACGAAGACCTTGACCTGTATAGGCAATTTTCTGTTATAGGAGGTAATACCCATTACGAACCCCAAATACCAAATTTGAAACAATTCCGTCGAAAACTATGACATAAATCATGGAAATACCGAATATCGGGAGGTACCGTTATATGGGGGCTATACGAAGGAGATGTGGACCTACATGGGAAATTTTCTGCATAGGAAGTAGGACCCATTACAAACTTCAAATACCAAATTTTAAACATTTTCCGTTAAAAAGTGGGATATAAATCATCAAAATATCGAATTTCAGAATGTACAGTTATATGCTGGCTATATGAAAACGTAGACCTCTCTAGCCCATTATCTCTCAGAGAAGTTGCTACCTATTACGAACTCGAGATACCAAGTTTGAGATAATCCCGTTGAAAAATGTAGCTAAAATCTTCAAAATATCGAAAATTGGGAGGTACCGTTATATGGCGGCTATACGAAGAAGATGTGTACCTACATGGGAAATTTTCTGTCATAGGAAGTAGAACCCATTACCAACTCCAAATACCAAACATGAAACAATTCCGATGAAAAATGCGACATATATTATCGAGAAACCGAATTTCAGGAAGTACAGCTATATAGGGGCTGTACGAAGTCGTGGACCTCTCTAGCCCATTATCTCTCAAAGAAGTTGCTACCTATTACGAACTTGAGATACCAAGTTTGAGATAATCCCGTTGAAAAATCTAGCTAAAATCTTCAAAATACCGAAAATTGGGAGCTACCGTTATATGGCGGCTATACGAAGAAGATGTGTACCTACATGGGAAATTTTCTGTCATAGGAAGTAGAACCCATTACCAACTCCAAATACCAAATTTAAAACATTTTCTGTTGAAAAGTGGGATACAAATCATCAAAATACTGAATATCTGGAAGTAAAGTTATATAATGGCTTTAGGAAATCGTGGATCTCTATAGTACATTATCTGAAAAAGAAGGTAGTATCTGTTACGAACTCGAAATACCAATTTTGAGATAATTCTGTTGAAAAATATTGCTAAAATCATCAACATACCGAAAATCGGGAGGTACCGTTATATGGGGGCTATACGAAGATGTGGACCTATATAGAAAATTTTCTGCCATGGGAAATAGTACCCTTTACGAACCCCAAATTTGAAATATTTTTTATTGAAAAGTGGGATACAAATCATAAAAATACCGAATATCTGGAGGTACAGTTATTTGGGGTCTATACCAAAACTGGGGCCTCTATGGACAGTTCCCATATACTTTGAACACAAACTGCCAGTTTACAGCAACATTCGGGTAAAAATTGAGACTAAAACAACGAAAATACCTTAAATCTCTCGGTACAACCATATGTGGGTTATACCCAAATCGTGGACTTTTTTGGCCCATTTTTAACATCAAAAGTTCAAAGGACATAAATTACATCCCATTAAAATTTTATCAACTTACTTCATTTTGTTCGGAGGTTAGAATGACTTCAACAGGCGGACGGGCATGAATAAATCAACAAAGAATTTTATGCTGATCAAGGATATATACACTTTGCGTGTTCTGCAATGTATATTTCAAGGTGTTCCAAACGGAATGATAACCTTCATGCATTAACAGGCTGCTATTTCTATTGGAGCCATATTCTGTACTGTACATAAATCTAATGTTGCAAGTTTGCCATTGCGCCTAAGAGTATGCTTTAGTTTTTCAGCATTCTCTTCATTTAGTTAAATGTCATTTACAAAAATTGAATTGCAAATAAAATTGAATATGGAATATCAATAGCTTACCTCAAAAAACTCCTCAGTTTCCTCTTGGTCGCGAAGAGCTCCAACATGGGGCAATCTCAGTATTTAATAAATTTTTCTTTTCCTTGTTCTTATTTCTCATTTTTGTTTGTTTTCTTTTTCTTCCTTCTTTCAGATGATGACAGTTGTTGTTCAACAAAATCTAATCCAGCCCCGATTAATAACCACAAAGAATGTTATAATCAACAACAAATTGGCGGCCGAGGAAATCTTCGCTGTGATGGTGGGGACAAGAACAGCTATCAATCACATTACAACTCACATTTGGCGGAACAACAAAATGAAGCCGAATCCATTTCAGCTTTGCGGCATTTCCGTAAAAATACCATGAAATGTATGGCAGGCAATAATTGTGCGGGCAATAGTAATTGCATGGCATACGGCAACAGTGGCTCATGCAATTACAATAACAACAATGGTAATCAGTGTGATAACTCTTCCGCCACTTCCTATTCTTGTCAATTGTGTGATGATACCTTCAGTACGGCTCTGGCTTTGCGAAAACATCGTACCTTAATGCACAACAATCAATGCGCAATGCCATTTATATGTAATATTTGTAAGCGTGGTTTTCGTCTACGCAATGCCCTGCAGCGACACATGGAAACGCACGATGCCGAGGGCAGACCGTATGAGTGTAATATTTGTCAGGTACGCTTTCCACGACCATCCCAGCTAACGTTGCATCGTTTGACGGTGCATAAATTTGAAAAATCCCATCCTTGCCGGGAGTGTGGTAAACAATTTGGCACCGAGAACGCCTTGAAGGCCCATCAAAAGGTGGCCCATGAAGGTAAGTGTTAGGTGGAATTTGGAAATGTGAAATTTTTTATTAATTGTGTTTTTTACTTTTAGCTAATTTTATGCCCTTACCATTTGCCTGTGTCTACTTGGAGGCTCCGAAATCACAAAAGGCCAAACTAACTAAAAATTAAAGTGGGGGTTATCAAGCAATAAATAATTCAAAAATGAATTGAATTTTACCTGTGAACTCCACTATGGTATGCAAACCACCTGTCGTATCCACTTGAAAGATTGTGGCCCTCCATGACGTTCTTTTAAAAACTTTCTATGACCTCCTATTTTCCTAAATGTACTGAAAAGAATACAATTATTTTTGTTAACTATAAATGAAATATGTATTTTTAAGTTCTCTTTAGTTTTATAAAGAAAGAAATTATGCCATAAATGTAAAACATTATTTAGCTTTTAAAATGTTTTGTTTATTGCATTTCAGATTGATCCAATAATATTATTTAATAGTATTGTATTTTTGTAATATTAAAATTACATATATATGTAGAAGACTTCTTATAGATCTTCTATATGGCAAGACTTTATATAGTTATATAAGTAAGTCATTCTAGAGATTATCTATAGATGGGAGGTCTGTGGTGAAAAGAATTTTTGTAATTGATCATCTAGAGATTGGAGACCTTTTAAAGTTTCGATGGGTAGAAGATATATCCACAGAAGGTGTCTTTAAAAGCAAATTATATAGAAGCATTTCAACTGATTTTCTAGGGATAGGGGTCTATAAGTGTGAGACCTTTTATAGACTTTTTACAGGTCCTCAATATGGCAAGACTTTTCATAGTTATGTAAGCAAGTCATTCTAGAGATTTTCTATAGATGGGAGGTCTTTTATGAATAGAATTTTTATAATTAATTTTGGAGAGATTGGAGACCTTTTAAAGTTTCGATGGGTAGAAGATATATCCACAGAAGGCGTCTTTAAAAGCAAATTGTATGGAAGCATTTCAACTATTTTTCTAGGGATAGGAGTCTATAAGTGGGAGACCTTCTATAGACTTTTTACAGGTCTTCAATATTGCAAGACTTTATATAGTTATATAAGTAAGTCATTCTAGAGATTTTCTATAGATGAGAGGTCTTTTATGAAAAGAATTTTCATAATTAATTTTGAAGAGATTGGAGACCTTTTAAAGTGTCGATAGGTAGAAGATCTATCCGCAGAAGTCCTCTTGAAAAGCAATTAATACAGAAGCATTTCAATGATTCTTCTAGGGATAAAGGACTATATGTAGGAGACCTTCTATAGATCTTCTAAATTTTTTAAGTCATTAAAAAAATCTTTTAAAAGTCTTAATGATCGATATACTCTACAAATTAAACCCTCCTATAGGATTACATAAAATGATAAGGCCATGATTCTACAGATCTTAAAAAAAGGTCATTGAAACAATTTCAATTTATTTCAGAATTAAAAATTGTTTTCTATTTATAAAATTTATTTAGAAAGTATATTCTTTGTAGAAGACATTTAAAAGAGCCTTGAAACACAGTAGGTCTTCTGGCTATAGAATGATACATGATATTTAGAACTTTTTTATGTATAAATCTTGTATACCTATGCGAGTTCGATGAAACATATTTATCAAACAATAAGAGTATTTTTATGAAAGACCAATTGTATGTCCACTTTAAGAATAAATTGACTTAAATATAAGGAAGACCTATTGATCTTCTTTTGTCTAACTTAAAACGACAGAAGGTTTTTAAATGGAACTTCTACAGATGAAAACCTTATGTATATCTTCAGTGGATGTGAGTTCTTCTAGAGGTTTTCTATCGATAGAAGATACTTAGCAAAACATTGATATAGGCGAATTTCTATTGTTCTTCTAGGGATAAAATAAATTTCATTGGACCATAGATATTAAAGAACTTCTGTAAGTCTTCAGAAGTATTTTATCGATTTTTTATAGAGGTATGATTAAAGGCCTCCTATTGGAATATTTGGAGAGAAGACTATATTTAATATCCTCTGTAAGTTTTCTAAAAGTCTTTTATAGATCTTGTCTTTTTGGAGGTATGATTAAAGGCCTCCTATTGAATTATTTTAAGGGAAGACTATATATAATTCGAAAGCTTATATTAAGACTCCTTGAAAAAAAATGAAAATCTGCCTATTTTTAAAAATATTTTTCGAGAATATTTTTACAAAATATTTTGTATTTTCAAAATTATATGAGAACAGACAACCTTAGAATTTGTTCCAATATGACGATACAAAAGCTAATACGATTCCAAATGATATTCACATTTTCTTTAACTAAAAAAATTTAAATGTTGAAAAATTTGGAATGGGGTTTTCCATTCGCATTCGGGTATCGTCAAAGAGAAACAGATCCTTATTTGTTGAAAAATATAAACTTCCAGTTAAAAAAGAAAAAAAGTGAATCAAACAAAAAAGTGAATAGAAAAAGTGAGGCAATCTTTTCTATTTGGTTTAAGCTCCATTTTCCGAATTGCATTTTTAGATAAAGGTACGGTAACATCGGCAGAGTGGTCAAGGAATATTCAATCCAGGAAACTTGAATAATAATATGTACATTTTGTGCATTATCTAAATAAAAAGCAATATATACATACCAATGTATATACGCATAAATTTCATTAAAAAAAAGAAAGAAACCCAATAATACAAAAACAGAATAGAAAATCTCAACACCACATAGAGCACTAAATACACATATACAAAAAGAAATATTAAACCAATATGTTATACACACATGAAATATACAAATAGTTTTAAAACAACATTATTTTTAATAACCAAAAATACATTAGTATAGACTTAAATATAATACAACATGTGAGAATTGCAAAATAAAATCAAAAATGAAAATCCAAAATATACTTTAAGAGATAACCTTAAATATTTGAATATGTATGAACCAATACCCACAGTAAGAAATGATCCAAAAAATTGTACGTAGTATATAAACTAAGTGATATTAAAAACAAAAAAAATATATATACACTAAAAATATTTTAATATTAAAAATACAAACAATAAACCCTATACAATAAGTTACAATAATTATAAGTAGAACATATATTTAGACTACCAAATAAGTAGTAAAAAAGATTTATAATTTTATACCAGCCTATCTATGTTAAAGCAAAACCCAATAATTAGTTCTAAACAATTCATTCTGAGTCTGAATTTTATAAAAAAAAAAAAACAAATAACAACCGATAAGAAATAAGTAATCTCTGATGGCGTAGAATATGCCTTGGCTCTCAAATAAAGAAAAATTTACTTGATAATTATTATAAATGGATGTATTTTTTAAGGGGGTATGGGAGATGCATTTTAAAAAGGTAAAGTAACATTTTTCACCAAGTTATGTCCAAAAATGCTTCGTTCTAATGAGTTAGACGTAATGTTACAGGTCTACGACCTGAGATTTACCAGATTGATAGCATTTTCTAAAAAACCATATAAACACCTTTAAAGGTGATGCTTTTATTACTGAAAATATATGCCTTGTTCTATCTACGACACCTATGCAAGGTAATTGGGAACTAATAAAAAGTCTTCTTCGTAAGAAGAACCAACAGTAGGTCATCATATAAAATTATATTCGAATTCTCGTTATTTCCACAAAAAATCCTTTGAAACTCTAAGAAACCTTTTACGGATACTCTCTTTAAATGTCTATTTAAAAATTATTTCCAAATGAACAACAAATTGTGATTTGATCATCAACTTTCCATTTTCACAAGCATAATCCTCATATTAAGTTCTTTCCCCAAGCTAATCCAATGATAACTTTACATTCTTGATTCTACCATGCGACTTTAATTTCATCATCGTGTTTGTTCAAAAATAATCATTATAAATCTGGTACCATCCCATTATTTTAACAAGGGTACTGCTTCATTTTGAACAAAAAACATTTGCCACGTAATTTAGTAGAACACCTATACAACTTCTACGAATTGCTGGATTTCTTATGGAGAAAGATATGAAATTATCCTGATTAGAAAGTAAAGTGTTCTGCCCAATTTAACTGTCAAAATCTAAACTGTAAATTGAGGGCAACGGGCTTTATTTATAAAATACCTTTCTATCTTACCTTCCAGGCAAACTGAAATAAATATCCCAATATTCGCCAAAATTATCAGAAAATTCATTTCTGGTTCCATCGGTGGGGCTAATTGTAGTTTTCTCTACATGTAACATACCCAAAACATGTTCCTTCTTATGAAATGCAATATTAGTCCGGGGGCTATGTATCACAAGCAGTAACCTATAATAAAGTGCCAAGGACATATTACATTTAAAAAATATACGTGAATTAAGCACTTATCTGTCTCTTTATCTCTTGAATGACGTTGATAGTCGAAATTACGAAATAATTGACAATCAGGCCACCTTACTTACCCTCCAGACAAACTAGAAATAGATCTCCCATTTTCTTCCAAAATTATGTGCAAAATTAATTTCTGGTTACATCGATGGAGCTAATGTTGTCTTCGCTACATGAATGATATCCAATACATATGACTTCTTATGATATTCAATATTGGTTCGTGAGCTATGTATCACAGGCAGTAATCTGTAATAAAGTGTCAAAGGCATATTACATCTTAAAAATATATGTGAATTGAGCGCTTACCTATCTCTTTGTCTATTACACGGTTTAGATGGCCGAAATTACGAAAAAAATTGACAATAACACATTTTTTTCATTGCTAAAAGTTTTGCGCCAAATGACATCAATCCAAGCTTGTCAAACTGTAAAAAGCTGTTATATTTGCAACTGAAGACTATGACAACGTGTGGTTAACGGAACGACAGAAACAAAAAGTTACCTAAATTAAAAGAGAGATGCACTTGTAGGCAAAATGACAAAGAAGCCAGGCGAAGACTAAAGCCAATATAAAAGGACTTTTATGTATATGCACTATTAATTTAGCATAATTATTGGGTTATTATATTTTTTCACTTTTCTAACGATTTTTTTCTTTGGTTTGTTCTTGTGTCTCTCTAAGCCGTTGGACAAAAATATGACTGAATTCATAGTCATCAGTTTATGTATAGCTAACGACATTGTTTACAGTTTGTAAAGCCCTGACTTATTGCAATCAATCTATTACAAATTGTGTGGAGCGTCAGGTGAAATTAGAAAATTATGATTTTGTTGAAGTTTATTGGATAATTTGTAAATTTTATTGTATTTTGCAATTGCTATAACAAAATTCACAAACGTGGGATACATTAAATGTGATACGATGTAAAATAAAAACCAGAAAATCATGTAAGTCCTATATTATTGTGTATATTATTGGAAGAAGACTTGTTCTCTATGAAACTGTCTTTGTATATTTCTATTGGATCTTCTGGACTTCTACTTGGAGATCTTCCGGTAACCAAACCTCATCGTTTAACCCCAGAATGAGTAATTTTTGTGAAGGATGAATTTAATAATATGACAAATAATTGAAAACCTGTGTCAAAACTATGGATTTTTTTTAAATATGTCCATTCATCCTTGGAAAGTTATTCTATTATTAGAATATATACTCTTTGGGCTGATTCCTTTGAAACAAAGTTTTGATCTTCCATACGAGGTCTGTGAGGTCTGTCTGTGATTTAGAATTCTCTATTTAAAATAAACTTTTAGCTACTACAAGAAAATCTTGTATCCCTCAGTAAAGGAGCAGGAGTATTCTAGGGAAGAAAAATTGGGCTAATATGTAAACGTTTTCTGATATATACGGAAGCTCTTGAGCGACTAAGCCAAGGTAATCAGCTATTTTCTGGTCTTATGTTATAGAAAAATTGTTTCCTGGAAAAAGGAGTCTTTCGGTTCGCATGAAACATTTTTGGAAAGGGGATTCGATTTTCTTTCCAAATTCTTGCTATATTTTTTATTATAAAATAAGATATGTTAAAAAAATATGTGACATGCAAGTGCTCTGTAATAATATAATTAAACACATTCAACTATGAAAAGATTCTATTTATTTCTGTTAAACCTAGTCCACCGGGCCAAAACGTCTCTAAACTGCAAGAATTCTTATTGCCTATTACGTTTATAATTCGTTTATTTGATTAAAGTCTTCGAGAATAACATTCATTTAATGCTGTACAACTTGTTTTACATCATTATATAGTTATATAAAAAAGAATTGGTGAATTGTTGTTAACTAATCTTAAGCTCTAAAGCAGTATCAAAAACACACAGTGAAACAAACAAATATACTTATTGCAACAGAAATAAGAATAAGAACATGGAACTAGTTGTGAGTTATTCAATACATCATGTGCACGCATCTCGGCATCGGTACACAAATAAACGCAACGCGATATTAATCATAATACCAATCTAGGAATAGCAATGATAAGGACATAACTAACAGGAAAAATAAAGACCAAACGCGTAGACCGGCATTTCGTTGGATAGCCTGTTTAATTTGTTCATTGGCATCCTTGACGTTTTCGGTGCTACCAATGACTGCATTGATGATGCGTTCTATATTGTGCTGTTGTAAGGTAACCTGTAATTCAAAAAAAATATATATTATTAACTTTATTAGAAATATTAAGGAGTATTGAATCTCACCTTTTCCGTAAATATATCCTGTAAGGTTGCTATATCTACAACATTCTTTTCAATGGCTTCCACCTCTTCTGACAGACCCTGTAGTTCATGATACAATTGCAGATTTTCCTCCTCAAACATTTGTATATCTTCGGGACTAAGATTCTTGGCAGCATCTTCTACATTCTGTTGGGATTTCTGTATATCCTCGTCCAAGGCCACCTGGGCTTTGGTGTCAGCAGAAAATGAGGTATTACTTAAATTGGAATTGTCATGTGATTTATTGCCATTAGATGTGGTTGGCTTTGGTGCTGTTATGTCATCTTCATCTAGATCCCAACCATCACCGCCAGCATCTATGTCCGAACTTTGTTCTGCTCTTCCCTCCCATTGTAAGTCCTTGCTCGACGTAGATGATACCGTTGAAGTTTTCCTAGATCTGTGTTCGCCTGCCGGTCGTACGGGAATTTTCTTTTTATCCGATGCCAATTTCAAAAGGCGATATGTTTCCAATTCATGTTGTACACGATATTTTTTCTGTTCCAAATAGATTTGTTGCACCGACTTGAGATAGGCGCTCAACAAATCCAACACAGCCTCCATGTGCTCCTTTTGCTGCGGCTTTCGCTTTGCCTTTTTCCAATCGTTACGCATTTGTCCCAAATACTGTGTATAGAATGTTACAAATTTCTCCGATTCCCTGTCGATTAGGTCCCTCTGATCATCAGTCATCTGAGCGGCACTCTTTAAATGCTGTCCTATACGCATGTAGGCTGAACGATTCTCTATGAGAACGTTGCGTAGAGTTGTGATTTTATTGCACACATCCTTGGCCTGTTTTGAGAATTCATCCCTTTGACCATTGGCATTGGTTGTGGTTTTGTTTGGTAGGATTCGTTTGTGGGCTTCCAATTCACCTTTACGTTGTAGTTTGACGGTCATTACACCGGCCTTAAATAGGTGTGTTATATCCATTTTGGTGTTGGCAGACTCAAAGCTCAGGGTGAAGGTTCCGGAGGAGTACGTTGTAGAATGAAACTCCTTTGTTTTTATTAAACAAAAAGGACTCTGGACAGCATTAATTAACTAACTACATTTAACTGTGATAGAGGCAAAGTTGATTTGTTGACACATCACTAAAATCGAATGAGAACATATGTTTTGTCAAAAGAAACGGACATTCACTGTGAAGTGGGTGCAAACGTCATTGAGAGTCCAACGGAATTACAAAGGTAGGGATATGTTCTATCGACTTTTGAATAATCAATGGTGATGGCTAGATCGATTTTTGATATCGGCCTATGCGCTACATTTTTGAGGTGTTTTACAGAGGAAAGAAGAAATGCCATATTATTATAGTTCAAGGCAAAATTAACGTTTCGTTGTGGCCCTTGAGTTTCGTGCGACGACATGAACATAGCGAAAGTGATGCCAATCAACTCGAAATCACAACCATCAACAAGAAACTCAACGTTCACAACGAAACATTGATGTCGCTTTGCTACACAACACTGAAAATGTTTAAGGCTTAAGTCGAGTGTAGAACTTACTCCACACTTTTTGGAAATGTTCTTCACAAGTTCGGTCTTGAGTTCTAACCGAAAAGTTCTAATGAAAGATTTTATTTGGCTGAAAATTTTTCAAAGCAATATCGATTTACGATACATATTTTATTGAGAGACTTTTTGACCGGCCGAATACCTGTGATATTATGGTAGAATCCTACCATTTATGGGATTTAACTCGCACAAAATGTGTATATTTATGCATCAACCTATTAAGAGCTAACTGTGGGTATTATATAAAAAAACATGTCCGGTCCAAGTGTAAAGCCTAATAGTCGATGATACTCATCCTGACTTTTAACTGCATAATATTGATACATCGAAATTAAACTACTTTTACTTAAAGCTTTACGACTCACCGCCGTCCAAGACGTGCCGAGAAAGTGAATAGTGATTTCTTGCAGTCTAAGCGCACAAAAAGATCCAAAATTTTAGGGTGACCGAAAATATGAAATATGTGAATACCTAATGAGGGAATTTATCCCAGGAATTTCCATCAAAATTTGTTGCATATCGAATGTGAAAATCTGACCCCAGGGAAAAATGAATGAAACGCCTGGATTTTCTTTCATAAAATATGATCTAGACAGTTCTATCTTTCAAAAAATGGCAAATAGCTTTAATGCGCGTCTCGCAATCGTCGTCCAATCATTGATATTGAGCATATTCTGTTTTTATTTTTCAAACAAATGTCAGAAGTCGGGCACAGTTAGAAAAAAAATTTAATCAGCTAGTGGCTCCACCTTACCTTTTTATTGTACCATGTTAGCTAGTATCGAATTGATTCCCAAGGTTTCTTGGGAATCAAATATAGGCCATAACTTTTTTTAATTAATTCAAAAACAACATAATTTTTCAAAAACTTTTTTATTTTGCCTTTTCTGTGTAGTTTTGTTGTTGTTTGTTTAACCGTTATATTTTTTTCGTTACATTTTATGTGTTTTTTGTTTTCAACTTCTGTATATATTTATTTCATCAACTATAAGCTAATTATATAGATAAATTATTTCATGTTGTTTTTTGTTAATATTTTGAAAATGTATTAAATTGTAAAATTTTTTCAAGTTTTCTCTTTCATTGTTTTTGAAAATGTAAATGTTGGCATGAAAATATTAAAAGAAAAAAACGTATATATATGGAATAACAAAAGTGCAAATATTATTTTTTTTTTATCAAGTCCATTGTTATAATTCACATAAGTCATACCAATAAATATTGAATAATTAATAATAAAAAAATAATAAATTATTTGTTTTGTTTTTTTTTTATTCGTATTAAAAATGGTGATGAAGATAATTAGATATTGAATAGTTTTATTGCCACAAAAGAATACAATTTTATTATGCAATGTAAACAAGTATTGTAATAATACCTCTCCCTAACCTACATCTTTTTTATTTTATTTATCTTTTTTGTTTCTGTTTGGGAAAAAAGTGTTTTTTTTTAGACGTATAGCTTGACAAGTTGTCTTGTCATCTAGAAACTCTCATAATGTAGTTTTTAAATATTTATTATTTTTTATAATTTTTCAATGGTCACATTGTGTTTGCCTTACTTAAAGATTTCCTTGGTTTATTTTACAAAACAATATCTGTATGTATATGCTTTTTTATATATTATAAAATTTAGTTTCAATTATAGTATTTAACTGCGCTCCTTTGTTTTTTTTTTTTTTCTTTTATTAATCATTTTTTTACATATTATTATTGTGTTTCTTTTTTTAATTGAAAATATATTTTCAGATTTGGTAATAGTATATAATATATATGTATGTATATGTTTTAACTTAGTTTATTTTAATTTGCATTATTATAATGTCAAAAATACAAGCAATAACTTAACACATGTTTGAAATATTTATGTTTTTGTTTTTTTGGTAAAAAGAAAAGTCATTTTTTTGTGTTGAAATCGAAAAAATAAACTATTAATGAAAATGTCATAAGAAAATATATATTTTTCTTTAGTTGAGCTTTTAATTGAATTTGGAATCGTTTTTTTTTTATTTTTGAAATTGGCCTTGAATGCAAAGGGTGGTGGCAAAGCCAAGGTTTTTCTTAATAGTTTTTTCTTTTTTTTTTTTTTTTTGTAAGGCGACAATTTAAAAATAAGCTCTCTTAGAAGGTTTCTAATATAAATATCCGAAAAGGTCAACACATACCTTAACAGAGTCTTATTCAAACGAATTTCATTTTCTCTATAGAGGAGCCACTTTTACATATTTTTTAAAAATTAGGACCTCCTTGGTCTTTCTCAATAGTTTTTTGGGAAGGCGAAGGTTCTAATATAAATATCGGAAAGTGGAGTCTTTTTCAAACAAATCACATTTCCTCTATAGTCCTTTTTAAAAATTAGGACCTCCTTGTAGATATTGTATCAATATAGGATGTCAATGGCGGTAATCGACACTAATAAAACAATTTTAGGGGGTCTTCTATAAAAAAGAAAGATGAAACCTTGGGAGGCACTTAACTCTTATTATCCTAATTAGAGGTATCTGTAAACAAAGCCCATCGTTACAGGTCTTCCACGGATAAAAAGCTCTGCTAAAGAGGAAAATAAATTTCTAATCAGTTTTTTAAACATAAAACCTCTTTGTGGGCTTTGGGTGGAGGACGTCCATATGGCCATTCTTTAAAAGGAGAACTTCTTAAGAAGTCTATCATAAGTCTTCAGGACTTTAGGATAGTGATAATCGAAAGAAAACTCTTTTAGAGAGATCTTCTATGAAAAGATAAAACCTTGGGAGGCCTTCAAAAAATGGTATCGTAATAAGAGGTCTTCTGTAAATAAGAGGACCTTGGGGCCTTTAACAAATATTTAGGAGTATATTTATAGATCTCTGTAAAAAGAGACCATCGTTAGAAATCCTGCACGGTTAAAAACCTCTTTATGGGGTCTCCTAAAGAGAAAAAAAATTTTGATCGGCGTTTTAAAAATTAGAACCTCTTTGAGGATTTTTGTTGGAGGAAGTCCATATGGACCTTCTTTAAAAGAAGTACTTCTTAAGAATTCTATCATAGGTAGGTATTGCAGCAATGTATGACTTCGATAGGGGTAATCGACAAAAAGAAAACTCTTTTTAGGGGGATCTTCTTTGAAAATATGAAACCTTGAGAGGCCTTCAAAAATGGTATTATAATGAAAAGTCTTCCGTAAATGGAGCACTTCTTTAGGGATCCTCTACAATTGCGAAACTCCAAATGGTCTCCTTAACGAAAGAAAAAAAACTTACTCGGCGTTTTTAGCATTTGTGGATTTTCCATTAACAGAGGGCCTCGTAAGAGACCTTCTACAAAAAAATAAAACCTTTTTAAGAAGTCTATCATAAGTGGAGGACCTACATAGATCATCTTTTAGAGATTTCTTCTTCTAGGCAATGAATAATAAGGTATTGTCTTTCTATAACTAATTGGTAATAGAAATCTTTTAAACGCATAGTTTTTAGATGGGCCGAATTGGACTTCTTTTGGGTCATCTGCTACTGGTCAAGTCCCCTGGAAAAAACTTTACTACTTTCGGTTTTGTTGTTATTAAATCATAATTCATATAAGTTTCCTTACTATTTGCCACGAACTTTGGAACTAATATAGGTTTTTAAATTGGTTAATAACAAAATGTTAACTCCATCGTATTGATAGCAGATTTAAATTAACCTTCAAAATCTCTTTAACCTTTCCAAACACCCTAAATCTCATTCTCTTCAATCTACATTCGAACTTTGCCCATAGCATTTTCCTAATTTCCACATATTTCCATTTCTGATCTCTTACAAAACTCCATACAAGCAAAAGCTTTTGGTTTCATAATTTAAAATCTTTTGATATTCTACTCCTGGAACTTAAATTCTCCCTTTAGGCTTGAGTCAATGGTTATCGATCTCCCTGCAAAATCCTCCACATGCCTTGGAATTCATAATCTACTGGGGTTTTTGTCAGCCTTATTCTTGAGCGTCGCTTTGTAGTTGGGAGTCTTTTTCAAGCTTAAAACCCTATAAATTCCCCTTAATCCATAACATCATCCTCCACATATTTGATTTTCAAAATGGACCTTTTAAAAACAACCACCTCTCCTATTGTCTCAAGGCCAATTTCTTTTTTTTTTAAATACCAATTACCATTTTCCTTTTGGTCGATGATCTCCAATTCAATTTGTTTTCTTTTATCAAGTGTTCTCTCATAATATAGGGTAATGTGTGTGTGTGTGTGTATGTTATGTATGTGTTCGTTTGTTTTATGTATAAATTTCTAAATCTAAAAACGAAGGAAAAAGAAAACATAAATAAATTATATTCTTGTTTTTTTTTATATAGTTTGTTTAATCCAAATCAACACTATCCATTCTCTCAAAACCAAATATATTGTCGGAAGTAGGATTAGAACGTTGTTGCTGTTGTGGTTGTTGACTAGAAGCACTGCTGGCACTATTGCTGCTGGTACCGGGCTGACCATCCTGACCATTGTTACGATAATGATTAGACGCCGAACCAATTTGCTGTTGTTGGTGTATGGGGCAAGCCGACGAGGAGGAGGATGTCGAATTGCCAACAACCGACGACGTATAGGCGGATGTACTTTGTCGATCGTCCACAGCATCCATGTGAACATCATTCTCCTCATCCTCCTCACCGTTCAAAGATTTACGACAAATGGGGCAAGTACCATGCAGTTTCAACCATGGAACAATACATTCTTCATGATAGACATGGGAGCAGGGCAATTTTCGAACCATTTCTTGTATCTTAAAATCTTCCCAGCACACCGAACATTGTAGTTTACGTTCGATTTCTTCGGGTGTTATTTCCACTTTGGGTATTTCATCAATTTTATCCTTGGCCAATGGTGGCGGGCCCGATGTTTCCATTTGATTTAATAGCTGGGTTACTATGGTATCCAAACCTTCGCGACCCCATGCATAATCACCCAAATTGCCCATGAACAGGAATTGAGAATTATCAAAGGGATTCATTTCACCGTCAGCACCACCGCTACCGCCCACCGAAATCGATTGCAGAAAATCGAGTAGGACATTATCTAAACCCAAACTTTGAGGACGTACCCGACCTCCAGCAGTGGTTACCGGTGGTCCCAGCGACACAATTCCCCTTGGTTGCCTTGGCAAGGTACCCGGATTTATGTTGATTTCCAAATTGGGACCATTACGCGAAGCCAATAAATTGGCAATTTGTCCTCGCAATGTTTCCAATTGCAGTTCATCATTGTTAAAGCCAGCATTGTTGCTTCCACTGCTACTGCTGCCGGCATTAGGGGCTGGGGCATTTGCTGCAGCTGGTGGTAGTTCTTCAACAAAGCCTCCAGAGCATATGGGGCAAATGTAATCAGTGCTGGCAATATTGATTTCCTCGTCACATTTGTGACAATAAAAACGGGGTGTTACTGGAGGTCTTTCTTCTACCACAGCTTCGGCCATATCGCTATTTCTTCTTCGAAAAGAGGGGAGAGCAGCAAAATCAAAATCTTTGTTGTACACAAACAAACACAGCTGCCGGTGTTGGCTTTATTTGCAAATTATTTTCCCACACCTGTCCGGGGGTCGTTTTCTTTTTCAGTTTCCTCTTGCAATTGATTTGTTTGTTGAACGTACGTGCCCTTCCCTTTGTCGTTCTGCTGCTGCTGCTGCTTCGGCTCTACTAGATGGTTGTATGGTTGTGTGTGCGTACACTTATTCTTTATGATGAGGAAGATTAAAATTAGTTTTTCTTTATTATTTTCTATATTCTATTGTAGTCGTTGGTTGCAATAATTTGTTTTACCCTTTTGACTGTCGCGATGACTGCCTGACGACGTTGTCGTAGTACTACAATAATGCTTTATTTCTTCTTCTAACAATTGACACCACTCACTCACTGACTGTTTCTATAGTTTCATTTTCACAACTTGTCTGATTATTTCGGTTGGTTCGTGTGTTTCGTTTAAGCTGCACCTTCTGCTGTTTGTCAGACACTTCGTGTTATTAAACCGAAGTAATTTTGTATTGTTACTTAATTAGTTGAAAGTTTTGACAGTTTTTAGATAAATACCAATATGTATTTGTTACGATCTTTTTGCGAATTGTAATTTATTAAGTCTTTTTTTTGCAATGAATGTTCAAGACAGGCAGAGACCGAGAGGCAATTCACCTAGAACGAAGACCTTTTTGACATTCTTGTCAGTTAGCAGCGTGTCAGAGTTGTTAGTGAAACGTTGCAGAACGTAAAGTTTACGTAAGCTACCGGTGAGTGGAAAGTTTACGTAAAACATGATAGAAAGCGCATCTTTTGAGAGGATATAGAAATATTTAGTTCTATTTAGGAAAATAGAAGCTTTTTAAATAAAATTACTACAAGACATTGCAACTATAATTGAGCTGTTGATACATAAACAAACATAGTGGCATATTTTGTGACACATTATAAAAGGAGTTTAGTGCCTCACTCAAATCCTACCATCGTTGTCTTTATAATGTGGCGCTATGTGCTAATTACAAGGGTGATTTGTGATTCGAATCTCTAACTCATTTTTTGAGTTACCGACAAAACAGGTTAAAATAAAAATGCATATAACTTCGATTATTAAAAAAAAATTGGCAAATTAGCGATTAAAATAAAGTTGTCGCTAAGTCCTACCGATAGCATCAGTGTTTTTAACTTTCAATTATTATTCGTTTATTACTATTCAATTACTACCGTTTTTTTATTATTATTATTTTCTTTTATCTTTTCTGGCGTCACAACCTGTGAGCTGGTAATTATATCTACTCTCCTAACTCTCCCTTACTAAACCTAATACCACGGTAGAACTTAGAAGGTAAAGTCATGTAATCATATGTTTACAATTTTTTCAAAATTATACCTTTGACAACATCTCATTGTCAAAATTTTCATTCATTTATCCACTGCATATACACAAAACAGAGATGAGACTGCTTTTTATGCATTGAAAATTGGCATGGTATATTACAGAAAATGTAGAGTTAGGAATGCTAATTTGAAATGAGGTTACCTTTATTTCATTGAACCATACCTAATACTCAATTCATGGTACAATTCATATTCATTTCAAATTAAATTCAAACCACCAACACGCTTACACGTGTTAATAATGACCATCAATTATCGATTCGTTGACGTTACAGGAATAGGTCCTCTTTTACTCAACAACGTACACAAAGTATTTATATACTGCAACGAAGAATTATTGGGGAATGAGCCCTTGGAAAGCTACCCGGAGATACTCTTTTTTGTCGAAAACTTGTTTTCAGATCTTTGTCGAAAAATTGTATGTGGATGAATAACATTTTGAGTTTTGTTTTTCTCGAATCAAATGTGACCATTTGATATCTCTGCAAAAATCCCCAAATTTTCGTAAATTCCCAATGGTATGGCACCTTCCGGTTTTACTGCCAGCGTTGACCAAAAATAGTAGTTATAAACTGTCAATTCACCGTTGCTGTCACAGCAACCCTAACGAAACAAAAAGTCATCGTCTTTGGGAACATAGCAGCGGCATTTGTTTTGCAAAAAATATCGCAAATCATTTAAAAATTAATTTTATATACAATCTTTTAATAAATTCTCAACAAAATGTCCATATTGGCATATAATGGAGGCTGTGTGGTGGCAATGCGTGGCAAAGATTGTGTAGCCATTGCAACTGATCGTCGTTTCGGTGTCCAGGCCCAAACGATTGAGACAGACTTTGAAAAAGTGTTCCAATTCAATCCACGTATGTTTGTCGGCCTGGTTGGCTTACAGACGGACATCCTCACAGTAAGGGACAGGCTAATGTTCCGTAAGAACTTGTATGAGACTCGTGAAAATCGTGAAATGCAACCAGCACGTTTTGCGGCTATGCTCTCCAGTTTTCTGTATGAACATCGTTTTGGACCATATTTTATTGAACCTGTTATTGCCGGTTTGGATCCAAAGACCTTGGAGCCTTTCATTTGTAATATGGATTTGATTGGTTGCCCAAATGTTCCCGACGATTTTGTGGTGGCCGGCACCTGTGGTGAACAGCTGTATGGTATGTGTGAAACCCTGTGGAAACCCGATTTGGAACCCAATCAATTGTTCGAAGTTATATCACAGGCTATGATTAATGCCTTTGATCGTGATGCTATCAGCGGTTGGGGTGCGACCGTTTATATTATTGAGAAAGACAAGATAACAGTGAAAACTTTGAAGACTCGTATGGATTAGGCGTATCGGCGATTTGTTGGAAGAGTGTTTGGAGGAAATGCAGCTCCAACTATGCTCGTGCGCTTTTTTCTATAATTTTGTAATTATTACTGCTTTTTTGTATAAGTAAAGGTCATGGATTGTCCAATCGAAGTAAAAAATAATAAATTTTTGTTTAAAACAAAATGTCTATATAAAGTAAGTTTTATTAAGTTTGTGTGTTATGGGCCATTTAAAGAGCACCAAATTGAAAGACGTAATCCCAAAAGAAAATAAGAAATGGCAACTAATCGGATGCAAGGCAGGTTTTGTGCAATTATGGATCTGAGTACTAAATTGCAATCAATTAGTTGGGAATATAACGCGCAGCAACAATATTTGGAGTCTATATCTGCAGATTGGTATATACTTGTAAGGTCTACCTACACCTTCAAGGTTCTTTAATTTAAGAAAAATCTCCTATCTGTAGAGGGTCTCCAAAAGCATCTACCCACATTCATTAGTTCTTTTATTTGTAATATACATCAAAAAGGGATCCTATTACAGGGTATATCCAAAAAAATACCCTACTCCCCCTTTGTATAATACCGCCAAAAGAAACCACAATATATCCTTCTCGATTTTGGTAATAAAAACTACTACAACTAAGGAAATGACAGCCAAAAAACAGCTGGAGTTGGAAAATATATTTTTTCTTGTCAATCATAATTAAATAGTTTTCTTTTTTTAGCACACAATTACACATACAATCATACAGATAAATAAATTTCTTCTTAATTAAAACTCGATACTTTTTATAGCCATTGCAATGGCAGCTTCTTTTGTTTTTGCTCCGCCAATAAATCCGGTGTGATGCACAAAAGTCAAATCATCCACACCGACCAGTTTGGAAAGTTCTTCATCACGTAAACCTCTCCATGGTTCGGGCAAAAATTTACGACCCAAAAAGCTATCTGGATTCAAGGGAACACCTGCAACACGCCAACTTCCTGAGGCGTCAATAAAAATGATCAGTTTAGGTACACCTACAACATCATATTCTTTCTCCAGCTCCACCAAATGTTGTTTCCATGGGCAAAATCTTGGCAGTAAAAGAATTTCTCCTGTTTTGTAAACGGTTTTAGCGGTCACCAAGGCTTCGCGTACATATTCACGTGCCTTAATCCATGATCCGCCAATGGCCAAAACATTATCAACAAACTCTTTGCCAGCATATGACATAGCTTCGGCAAAACGTTCATCGATATTAACATTTGTTCCCTCCTCTTCCCATGAGGGATTGAATTTGCCAACTCGACTTGAGAGGCCTGTGGAGATTTTGTACAAGGGCTCAACGCCTTCGGGACACATTGGTACGCCATTATCAATGGCATCGATTTCACTAATAAAGTTGCGATAGATTTGTACAAATGTAAGCTTCAAGTTTTGAGGATTCAGGGAAATATTGGCATGTTTCTTCAGAATCTCATCAATAACACGTTCTCCGTAATAGCAATAAATCAGTCCAGCACTACTTAACCTGGAATTTTCAAAAAAAAGTAAAGTCTTGGATCCCCTTCATATTGTTAAATAAATATACCTTATTTTATTAAACTGCTCCTCGTATTCAGGCTTTAATGAACCCAATGTATGCTGAAATGATTTCTGATGATGATCATACCATTTCTTTTCATGATCAAACTCACCACCCACATCAACAATAATATCGCATTTTTCTTGTAACTCGGCATCATTGCGGGAACGAAATATCTTAGCATCGCTATATTCCGGCAGCTGTTTCAACATAAAACATGCCAATACCTCATCACAGTGGAATGTCCCACTGTGTGTTCCAATGCATTTTGTGGCTGCATCTGTACAAAGACGTTTGGGAGATGTGGCGGCGGGCGATGAAGACGACATGATGGTTTGCAGTATAAATTTAGATTGAAGTACTGAAATAGAGTCGCAATATTAGTTTGTATTTATCACAAAATAATATCCTTTCCTACACGTTCTTGGTCTGGTGTTGTTAACTAATGTCAATCTAAAGAGCGGCAAAACACAGCTGGTAAACGACACCATTTTAAACGAACGCAGATGGCGAATGTGAAATTTTGACGCCGTCGTTATTGAGTGTTACTTTAATGCCAACGTATGTCAAATGATATTTCTTACGTTATGTTTAGATTGCATTGCAATGTATACACTTAATGTAATATGCATGCCAAATACAGCAATTATAAATCGGAGTTGATTGATACGTTGTTGCAAAGGGCACAATCTGCATGGAAACTGAAAATAAATAAAAAATGACGTTTTAGTTGGCATATAATTTAAGAAATGCAAAAAGAATACATTTGATATCATTTGACAACTTCTCATTGTCAAAATCTGTATTTATAAATCCATTGTATTTATAAATCCATTTGTCAAAATGTGTATTTATAAATCCATACACAAATCAGAGATGGAAACCTGTTTTTATGTAATGTGAGAAGGTAAACACAGAAATTGCAGAGATGGGTATGCTTATTTGAAATGACTTTACCTTCTTTATTTTACCATGTACTAGTAGGAGATTGCGGAAAACTTGCGAGGTGAAGATTTAACGGAATAAAGTCTTTTCAAATATCAAATATCCATCTCTGTATTTTCTGTAATTGATCTTGTTAAATTTCACTGCATAAAAATCAAGTTTTCATCTCCGATTTGTGTGTATATAATGGATTTATAAATATAAATTTTAACAATGAAATGTTGTCAAATGAATAATTTTGAAAAAAATTGTAAACATATGATAGCATGGCGTTACCTTCTTGATTCTATCATTCACTTGCATTGGCGTGAAGATTCCGCACAGCATTTAAGATACAAAAATATAAAAAAGCAAGTTGAATTAGTTCTATTTCGGACCATAATCTATACTTGTTAACCCTACGCTCCTTTATTATTTTAAGTGTTCTCACCTTTATCCGGATAAACTTTTGTATGTAAACGCTCTTTGATTTTGTAGCATATTTGCATGTATATTTAGATATTTTTAATTGATTTATTTTAATTTCTTAACAACACGTCGCCCAACTGTCGCATTCTGCGTGGTTGAAAATACATGTACAAGCTAAAGGCAAAAGCAGAATCAAGGTGAAAGTACATAAACAGCTTTAAATCTTCGCATGGCATATTATGTGACATATCATAAAGGGATGCCAGAGTCGCATTCGAATTCTGCCTTCGTTTCACTTTATAATTTTACACTAATGTGCCTAGCCCTGATACCAAGCTGCTTATGTACCCTCACCTTTAGCGGTTCATCATAAACACTGTATGTTGCCAAAAAACGCAACAAGTCTGTGGTGTAATTTAGAAAGCTTCGCTTTCGTTCCGCCTATGTGTTTTTGGCGCAAAGCAATGCCAAGAAGAAACATTATGCTGTCTTTGGCTAAAGGTACGTAAGAAGTTTGAAGTCATGGCTAGGCATATTTTGTGACATATTCCGTTATTATTTGACATTAATATGCCTAGCAATGACGTCAAGCTTTTTATGTACTTGCACTTTTTGACTCAAAGCCTTTAATCCTTCCTCGTTCACACCAGTTTTAGGATAATCGAAATTCATGGCTCATCTAATTTTTCGTTTTCTTAATGGAATTTAACAGTTTTTGGCTTAACTTGGCGAAAAGGTTTTGATGCAGACAATAAAAAAATGCTAGCCCGAAAAAATATCAACAACAAACAGCGTTAACAATCAATTATCACATATCGTCTAATTTGAAATCAAAGCATTTAATGACACACATATACACATGCCTATGTGTTTACACATACATACCAAGCAAATCAAGTCAGTAAAGTAAGCGTTAAAAAACAAATATGAAATGTTGTCAATAATACGTATTCGGTGATGAATATTTTTATGTATAAGATTGTTCCGATGGGGCATAAATATCGGAAGAACATTGCAATTCCAAAATTGGTTTGACAGTTCATTGTCCCAGCAGCTGTTTCGATGTGACTACCTATATTTTTCTACCATGGATTTATTGAATGCTCTAATATGTTTACACATAGCATAAGAAGGATATAAATACCGGTCAGTTGATGCTTGTTTACATATACATATTAGATGTACCACGGTAGAAGAATACAGGTAGTCGCATCAACACAGCTGCTGGGACAATTGAAATTTTTTAATGATTGATTATAAAAATAAAAGTTGTTGATAACTGGACATCATTGCATGATTCGATTAATTTCGTATAAGAAAACTTATACAAAACTTATAAAAATAAGTATATTTTTGAAAAAAAAAAAAAAAAAACATTTTAAAATTTTTGACATATCAATGTTCCCAAGCGTCGATGCATCTACCTGTACTCATTTACCACGAGAACTACTGAACCCACTGCGATAACCTTTAATACTGTTAACGGATTCTTATAGTACGTTTATATATATGAGGGTTAACCCACTGGATTTGGATTTAAATTGTCATATCCATTACTTTTACTTCAAATAAATCCTCTCAAAGAAGGTTAACCCTACAAAAAGTTCTAACGTAAACATGGCATTAAGCTTTAATAAAACCCCATTTCGCTTTCAATTCGTCACAACCCAATGTTACCATTTTTTCGACTTATTTGCTGAAAAAAATCCACAAAATATGGACAGAAATTTGGAAAACAAGAATCATAGCGCTTTAAAAATTTTCAGTTGTTTAGTCGAATGCATACAACGTCAATGTTTGGAAGCAAAACTTGCAAAGTGTGTATTATGTGTGTTTGCGTGTGTGAATAGTCAAAAAATAAAACACAAAGGAAATTCGAATGTAACACTAAAAAAAAGGCTAAAAAATCGAAATCAATCAAAACAACTTAAAATCCAATTTGGGAGAAATGGCGGAAGCTAGATTGCGAAGAAATGCCGCTAGCCGTCATTTACCATCGCTGTAAGTTTTTGTTGAATTACACATTCCTTCTGGGAATACGGAGAACAAACATAACAAAACAAACTAAAATATGTGAGAAAAAGTTTTCAGTTGGTGATTGTTTCAATTCTTTGTTCGAAAACAACACGTGATAAAAAAAAATTCTAACAAAATTTGCGCTTGATATAATAGCAATTATAATTATTATAATAATAACACCAAACAGTCTTACCGACATTGATTTAACAAACACTTATTTTCAAAATTAAATTACGAGGTTCGTTGTGAAAGTATGTCTTACTTTGGTGTTACTAAATGGTCGAATTAGTCCGAATTATGTAACATATTGTCATGGAAACGACAATGTAATAAAACAGAATTCAATGAAAAAGTGACATTTAATTTGACGTTTCTATTCAATTAGTGTATGACAAATAAACAAAGTATTTTTATAAAACCAGTTCCGTATTTTTAGTGTTGGAAAATTTTCCATTTGTTTTAACTGCTAATTTCCAAAAGTATAAATACATTAAAATACACTCTCCATCGCAGACACAATGTCGGATTTAATAGCGGGCGAGAAATTAACAAAATAAAAACTTGCAAAAAACAAACACCTCCAACCCCGAGGGAAAGTGAAGGGAAGTGATAATTAAATTGATGTTTGATAATTCGCAAATGTTTATATCAAGTTAGAGCTCGAACATGGGAAAGCCAACTATCCAGCGAAGAAATGATGGCAAGAGTGAGGGTACATAATCAGCTTGAAGTCTTCGCATGACATGTTTTGTGTCATATCATAAAGGAATACCAGATCCTCACTTGAATCCTGGCGTTTTCCCTTTTAATTTGACATTAATATGCCTAGCCATGATGCCAAGCTGCTATGTTCTCACACCTTAAAGGTGAAAGTACATAAATATCTTGAAGTCTTTTCTAGGTATAATGTCAAATTATAATGAAAAACGACGGCAGGATATTAGCGCGGCTCTGTAATCCCCTTATGAAATGTCGAAAAACATGCCTATCCATATATCAGATATCGTAAAGATTTTGGCAACACTTTTCAGCTGATTTAAAGCGTGTTTACTCGATGTCATATGTTTATTCCAAAGCGTATATGTCATGTAAATCTTATTCATAAATCCAGTGGATATTCTTTGACACATACAGGTTGAGATGAAAAAACTGCAACCAACTTCAGACTGCTGTCATTTCTAAGCCACAGCTGTTAAAATTATTCCAGTGACAGATTATTACATTGTTTACAAGCGTACAAAAGCATTTAGGTGAGAATTTTTCAGAAAAAAAGTTATTCGTGACGGAATTCAAGCGTGATAGTGTGATTTCTTTATATTTGGCTGGAAAACCACAAGTGGCTAACGTTAGAGCACTCCACCATTTAAATGTGAATAAATCTTTTGTCTCTCGTTCCATCGCTCGTTACCGTGATACTGAAAGTCAAGGAAGTGGACGGAAGAAAACAGCAACATCAGCAGAAATGGTTGGAAAAGTAAAGAAGCAACTTCATCGAAGCTCGCGTCGCAGTGTTCCATTCGTCAAATATTAAAAAAAAGCTCGGGGTGAAGCCATTGAAATTCCAAAAAGTGCAAGAACTTACACCACAAAAGAAAGAAAACAGACTCAAAAGATCTAAAGAGTTGCTTCGCTTGGCAGAAAGTGGTGAAATGCCGAATTTTGGTTTTCTCCTCTCCGATGAGAGAAACAGTTTGTAAATAAACAAAACGATCGTGTTTACTTGCCAAAGAGGTTAGCTGAAAATGTGCACCTTTTATTGGCCACCAGAACTCAAGCGCCGGCCACGGTGATGGAGTGGGCTGCCATTACAGTCAATGGTTGCTCTCTGCTTGTATTAATCGACCGTGGCATCAGAATTAATGCCGAATATTGTCGCGAAAATATTCTGGAGGGTGTATTAGAGCCTTGGGCACGCAAACATTTTGGCCGCAGACCTTTGACATTCCAACAGGACTCAGCACGCGTCACCCAAGAATGTTTATAAAATGAGGTTTCTCGCTTTATTTCCTGTGCACAATGGCCACCAAAATCTCCGGATACCACTCCGTCGGACTATTGTGACTTGAGTATTTTGCAAAGCAAGGTGTGGCACTAAAAAATACCAAAGTGTCGATAACCTCAAGCAAGCATTTCCCCGGGAATGGGCCAAAATACCGCAGAGCAACATTCGGACAACTTGTGACGGCTTGTGACCT